GCACCATTATCGGATGTGAGTATTCGTGGAATGTTGTATCGACAACATATATTAGTGAAAAGAAATTTTATCACTTTTTCCTCGATAATCTTTTCCAATGACTCTACCTTAATCCATTTAGTGAAATAATTTGTCGCAATTATCAAAAACCTTTGATGGCCTGCTGCTTGAGGAAAAGGGCCTACTATATCAATTCCCCACTGTGTGAAAGGTAACGGGGAGCTCATTGCGATCATGCTCTCCGTATGTCGGTGAATTAACGGGCCGTGTTGCTAACACCTTAGGCATTTCCGCACAAGTTATTGCGCCATTGCTCTCATTTTGTGCGAAAAGTAGCCAGCACGAAGGACCTTCCCTACGAACGCCCTATCTTTCACATGGTCACCACAACAACCTTCATGAGATTCTCTTAGCAGGTACTCTGAATCCTGATTTGAAACACATTGTAGGTAAGGCACGACATATGATCCCTATATAGTGCCCCATTTTGCAGAAATAACCTCAGAGCTCTTCTCCCCATAGGATCACCTCTAATGTCATTTCCTATGACCGGGTTATGTAACCACCTTATTAGAGATCCCTCCTATCATCTTTCTCCTCAACTTCCACTACTTGATCTAACGTACTCGCAACCTATCTAGCAATGTCACTGGTCTAGATCAGCAGTTTACTAGGGACACGACCATTTTAGAGAGTAGTCGGCTCTACTATTCTCACCTCGCGGTATTTGTACCAACTCCAATATGAAAAATCCTTTTAGTATAGAGTGAACCTCAGGCACGTACTTCCTCATGCGCTCCTGTTTTGCCTTATACTCTCATTAACTTCTTCTACCACAAGCTGGGAGTCCAAATGAATGATGACTCGCAGTGCTCCTTCTTTTTGGACAAGCTGAATCCCCATGATAAGGGTTTCATATCCAACTTCATTGTTCGATGCTCTGAATGATAACTTGATGGAGAACTCTAAGTGACCTTTCTCTGTTGTTACGAACAAGATGCCTAGACCGACATCTCCAATAGTTGAAGACCCATTAATATACACCACCCATTGTTCATCCTCACTGCTCGCGGTACATTACTGTATGAAGTAAGCCATAGCCTGGGCCTTAATAACTCTTCCAGCCTCAAAATCTACATTGTATTTGTAATGTCCCACTTTGATTTAACGAAAATCCATGCCTTTTCAGAAAAATCAATTTAAATTTTTGAAATTCAATTCAAAAATATTTGTGGCGTTACTCATTTTCAAATACTAACATCAATAATCAACATTATTTCAATCATAATTTCAACTCCCAAACGGGTTCATCAATAATGTCATCACCCAAACACAGGTTTCATCAATCATCATAGTATCTAAGGAGTATCTCCTTAAAATTATTCCAGTCCTCATAAATTCATAAATTCATAGAATCATAAAATCAGTTCATAAAGTGGAAGCACATCAAAATAATAAACCGGTCTCATAGACCGACAACCACTCACTCCTTCCTGCCGTGCCCGCAATAACTTAACCTGCAACCGTGAGAAAACAGGTGGGGTGAGCATTAATGGAATCCGTGGTGCTCACCACTATGCAGTAAACATTCTCCATAATATAACAGTAATCATAAAACAAGTCAGGTATGGTCACAGCATGTATATGAATCATATTCTATTCAATCTCCTATCCTAGAGTCAACTCTCATGTGCACACCTACACATAGACTATTGCTCATATACGATTCGAACGCCAAGACCTACGACTTGGCCTTACAATGATGCCCAGCCAGTAGGAGTAATCCACCCCGCCGGCCAAGACCTACACCTTGGTCTTACAAACTAGGATCACCAGCCGAGGGCCCATGCCCTGGTCTTACGACTCCCATAATCCATAAATAAAGGATACTACCCATCGGGTACGTTCTATAGCTACGGGGATAACCGCTTGACGGCCGACACAACTTACATCGAAGGCTACATGGTTCATATGCATACTTTGATCATACCATACAACAGAACTAAACAAAATTTATGGTATAGTAATTTTAGAATAACAACCCACCTGGTCGAAAGCAAAAGTTAACACAAAAGCTCGTGTAGGCAGCAAGTTCGGCTCGTCAAGCACCTACATATTAAATAGCCCTATAAATGACTATTCAACACATGAACTACTAACCATAACAAGCACTTGGTTCAAATAAGCTCAATAGGCATATAAGCATTTAACAAGGAAATTCTATTTCTGAAAACACCACATAAGTTTTTCAAAAACTAACCCGAGTAGCGTTTTTAACAACATAACTATCAGCACATAACTTATATGAATATGATTATAGTCTCAAATTAAACCTAAGACATGCACTTACAACTTTCAAGAAGACCTCAGGATCAAATAACGGCACTCAGCAGGTTAAAAATCAACTAACATGAACAACCTAGTTGCAGTCCGGAATCTAAACATGCGGGTGCACAACTTTAGAAAAACAAACCTAACTCATACTACCCACAACATATTTACATGATTCTAGCATCAATAGAAGCTAAGTGGTAGCCCTACAACTTTCATTTAGAACACAACAGCAGATAAGGTCATTAAGATAGAGTAAAAGCGGTTAACATTAGGAATCAGTTTTCTGCCAGAAAGTTCAAACCATCACATGCACAACTTCACTCAATTTGACATAACTAGAGCTACATACTAGCTTTTAATGAGATTCAAAAACCAAAATGTAGCCAACACAATTATATACAACTTTATTGAAGACTATATTGACAAATAGTGGTGTTATCAATGAGTTTAAATAAAAAATATTCGGTTCATGAAATCTGTCAGAAACAAATTCATGTTACAAACAGCTCCTCAGTATTTAGACTCTAATTTATGCTACAGGACTCATATCAGCATGCATTCTACCTCATTAGAGAGATAAGAAATATACTTATAACTTTCAAGAAGATCACTTTCACATTTGGACACATTAAGACATGATAAACAGGTCAAACATAAAATAAACATAAGCTGTCGGGATTTAGTAAAAACTACTTGCGCGACAAATTTGCAAAAATCATAACTTATTCGTTTCAAATCGAAATCATATGATTCCAAAGCCCAGAGAAAGCCAACATAAAATACTACGATCCATATACAGATCAAATTTTCAAATAACGAGTAATTCAGGGTCATTATAGTAGCTCAACAGAACAGCCGAAACGCGATATAAATCATGAATTTGCAATGAACTCTCAGTAACAATTCTGTAGTCCTTAAGCAACGAGATTACATCGAACCAACACCAAATATCTTATAATAAAACACATAAACGAGGGAAGGTTACAACATATATCATGCTTTAACACAAGTTCAACATAATTCATATAAAAACCACCACATAAGCAATTTATTATTAAACCCAAACATGCTAAATCATCAAAGGCATCAACATATATGATAATAATAAAAACTAACACTTTAAAATAGAGGGTTAAAGCATCCATGATACCTTTCTCGAGAAAAACACATGAAAGGATTGAGAGACGGCTAACACGAGGCTGAACGGGGTCGTTGGCAGGGTGCTCGGGCTTCGAGATGGGAGGAGGAGATAGGAGCAGCGGCCCTCTTCCTTTACTGAACGCAATCTTCCTTCTTTTTTTTTTTATTACAGTGAGAGGGAGAGAAGAGAACGAGAAAGAGTGATGAGAGATTTCTCATATTCCTGATCGATCGAGAGAAAGAGAACGAGAGATGTTTTTCCCTTCTGAACAACAAACGTGAGGGAGAGCTGAGGGATTTTTGTTCTGCGCGTGAATAATATGAGGAGAGGAGGGTTTTTAACTTGTATTTACGGAACTAGGTTAAATGACTTGTCAACCAAGTAAAATGAGAGAGGGGTGCTCGGGCGCAGGTTCATGTCAAGGGCTGGGTTTAAGGCGAACTTGCTCGGGGTCTCTTCTCGTGCTCGACTTAGCAAATAATAATAGCTCGGTTCAATGCTATTAAGATACGACTCGCGATAAATAAATTAAACCGAACATTATATATATATATATATTACACATAATAATTATTTAATAATAAGCAAATAAAACAATTAAACAATTTGGCAATTAATATAAATTAGGCAATTAATATCACGAATAATAATAATAATAATAATAATAGCAATAAATAATACTCGAAAAATCCATAAATATACAGAGCATTACAGCGCTTCTCCTCTTGGTCCGACTCTCTGAAAATATTTAATATTCGGCTCAAATGCTATGATAATTAAATTAAACCGACTAATATATACATTTAGAACACACAATAATCACATATATATATATACACACACACACACATAATATTTATTTAATAATAATAAGCAAATAAAATAATTAATGACAATTAGACATATAATAATAATAATAATAATAATAATAATAATAATAATAATAATAATAATAATAATGTAGAAGTAGATAATCCCAAAATTATTCATAAACAAACGGGGCATTACAGTATTCTCCCAGCTCAACTGCCACCATCCTTCTCGAGGCCGAAGGGCGACCTAGGGTATATTTAAGTGCGTAATTTGTTCGTACCATAACCTTATGAGCTAAGAAATAGTGTTGTAGTTTGTGTGCCGTGGAAATTAGTGCTAATGTCTCTTTCTCCACATTAGAGTATCTCCGCTCAGCACCCTGAAATATTTGACTAGTATAATAAATTGACCTTTGTTGATTATGGTCTTCCTTAATAAATACTGAGCTAATGGCCTCGTGACCCACAGACAGGTATACAAACCAACACATCTCTTGGTTTCGGTTTTGTAAGTAGAGGGAGCTTGGCCAAGAATTCCTTCAACCTTTCCAACTCTTGTTGTGTTGGGATCAGTGAGGATCTCGTTATGTACAAATCACGAATTCAATAGTAAATGTAAAACTATGCGCAACAAATCTAAAGGTTTGATGTAGAAAATTTATGACTTAAAATTTTCTAAATCTGAGGGATTTGGGATGGCCGGGAGAATCACGTCACGGGGTGGCCGGGATCTCGGCGTCGCGGTGGTGCTGTTGTGGTGCCGGGTTGATCGCGTTGGTCGCCGGGGCTGGGCTTGGCAGTCGCGTCACGGAGTCTGGGTCGGCAGTCCATCGTCGAGCTCGATTGGCTCGTCGCGGCGGTCGTGGCTCATCGGCACCAATCCGACGGGTCACGGTGGTCGGCTCCGTGGTTGGCGAATATATATGTCTCGGTTAGTCAGGATCTTCTACTTTATTACTCGAACACCTTTTCAACTTATATTGGTGGAACAACAAGAAGAAGATAAAGCTCGAACAGAAACATAAGAGAGAGAGAGAGAGAGAGAGAGAGAGAGAGAGAGAGAGAGGG